CCGTGTAACAATCTTTTTTGAAGTATTAACTTTTTATGATTCAAGCCTGACTTTACAGCACTTTAGGACATCTCTAGAGAAAAATGGTTTCAAAAATTCTAAAAATAAAATAAAATTTCCCAATCTGCCATTCTAGCATGCAGGACAGTTGGAAAAATGCAATGCATACCAGTAAAATTTGAGGATGCCAGAAAGTTTGGGACCACTTAGCTAGTGGAAAGTTTAAAAAAATTACTGACTTAAAAATGATATTTTCCCTTTCTTACCTATACCCATAATTCAGTGTAGCCACTCTTCAAATTTTGGAGTTATTAATTTGTGTTGTACAATTTATAAGTTTGAACTTTCAGAAATTTTGTTTGGAATTTTCTTTCTTTTTCATTAAAGATTGTTTTTCTTGACTTCATGTTAAAATGGAAGAATTAATAATTCCAAGGAACTAAATAGGATAAGAGCTAGTAATCAGGAAAGCTCATGAGAATTTTCTTCTCTAGGGCTCCCATTTGAACAAATATTTTATTTTGATTTTACTATTGTCTTTAGTGCAAGTTTATTCTTTATTATTTATATTGTTTTTTCTAGTATAGAAGTTTTAAATTTAAAAATAATTATACCCAACTATTTAAAATTTTTTTAACATTTTGAACTAATATTAGACTTAAGTTGAAAAAATAGCACAAGAGTTTACTTATATTCCTTGTCCTGCTTCCCCATTAACATCTTACATAATTATCGTATAGTTATCAAGAATAGGAAATTAACATTGGGTTCAATATTATTAACTAAAGAGCTTATTTGGATTTCACTGATTTTTCCCTCTAATTTCCTTTTTGCTGTTCTAGGATCCTGTCCAGGATTGTACATTGCATTTAGCTGTTATTTCTCCTTAGTCTCTTCTGGTCTGTCAACAGTTCCTCAGTCTTTCTTTGACTTATATAACCTTGACACTTTTGAAGGGTACTGATTAGTTATTAAGTAGAATATCCCTCAATTTGGGTTTGTCCAGTGTTTTCTCATGATTAGAATGAGATTATGCATTTTTGGCAAGAATACCATTATTTATATGTATCAGTATGGACTCATGTATATTTATTTTATTCCATGGGTTAAAAGTCAGTACTATTATTGTTCAAGATTTTCCAGTTTTGGCCTTTAGGAGCTCCTTTAAGTTGACTTCTGTGCTCTTTTTGTAAGCCCCATCTTGTTTTGAGCATTCCCTCACTTTCTGGAACCACAAGATACTCCAGGTTCATTTTGTATTTTCCTTACTCCAGTCTAGGAATCAACCACTTCTCCTAGGAGTCCTAGTTCCTTCTACTGAGGAATATTTAGACACCAAAAACCAAACCAAACCCATTGCCATCGAGTCAATTTTGACTCGTAGGGAACTGCTCCATCAGGTTTCCAAGGAGCAGCTGGTGGATTCAGACTGTCGATCTTTTCGTTACCAGCCATGCGCTTAACCACTGCACCACCAGGGCTCCATAGGACAGAGTAGAACTGTCCCATAGGGTTTCCTGGGCTGTAATCTTTGCAGATGCAGACTGCCACATCTTTCTCCTACTGAGTGGCTAGTGGGTTCAAACCACCAACCTTTTGGTTTACAGCTGAGTGCTTAACCATTGCACCACCAGGGCTCCTTGTTTAGACACGAAGACTCAGAAATTTTTTAAGGGTAATTTCTTACTTGCTTCAGTAGACTCGTCATAATGTCTCATATCCACATAGAACCAGAAACAACGAAGAAAACTGAAGAGGAAGACGTTGAATGTGAAGAAGATCTCGCTTTAGCATGTGATTCAGAAAGTCCAGTTAAAGCATTGGAAACTGATATCAGTGAAAATAAAACAGGTATAATGTACTAACTAGTTTTTTTTGAAGAGAGTAGGGTGGTAGTATTACGTATTGTTCTTTGGAATTACATAGAAATTTAGTAAAACTCCAGGGCTTCCACCCTGCTTCATCCTTAAGTAGCTCCCATTTTATTCATTTATATATTTATGAGTTTGCTGAAAGATTTCTTTGGGACAACAGGATCCACTATTAAAAGAAAAACAGCGAAAATCACAGTCATAATAAATACCATCCAGTTTATTTTGGCCTTAGTGCTGTATTTGACTGTATTAGTACGGTGGTCAAAATCAATTTAAGAACAGGATAATATCAAGGGAAAGATAAAGATCCGGCCAGAACTTGGTTTCTTGTCCTATTCCTACCACAAAGAGGTGTGATTTTTTTGGTAAGTTGTTTAAACCTCTCTAGAACTGTTTTTACACACATTGGTTGAAATATACTTTAATTGTAAGCTAAACTGATTGGATCAGATTCAACCAACAGTGAATAGAAATGACCAAAAAAATAAAACAAAAAAAAACCCCCAAACCTGTTGCCATTGAGTTGATTCCAACTGATAGTGACCCTATAAGACAGAGTAGAACTGCTCAGTAGGATTTCCAAGGCTTACATTTTACTGAAGCAGACTGCCACATCTTTCTCCTGCAAAGTGGTAGTGGGTTTGAACTGCTGACGTTTTGGTTAGCAGCCGAGCACTAGGAGGGAAATTTTAATTCATTTTACCGAATAACTTTTCATCCTAAGTGAAGCAGGTGGCAGCAGCCAATTTCTCATTAGAGTTAGGGGTAATGATTCTTAAATATTTTTTTAAGAGGCAGATTAGTAGGAAATCATGATATTCTTTTTTTTTTT